AGAACTCATTGTGTTATGTTCTTGTTAGTTAGCATCAGTAGTTCTGTCCTTGGTATTTTACTATTGTTAGCAGTTAGAAAGTAATTCTTGTAATTTACTCCTGTCTGTCCCTTCCAGCCCACAAGTGTGTGTCCCGCACCTGCCCTGGGATTGAAGCTGCAACCCGTCCAGTGGCCTTCTGACTGGCACAGCGAAAAAGCATGCATATTTATATATATTTTATACAGGTAGCAAGTGTTGTAGTTTTTTATAGTGAATTGTATGTAATTACATTATTTGGAATTTTTATATTATGTACATTTTTCCTTGAATAGACGCACTATAAACTCTTGAAGAAGCGACTTTTGTCGCAAATGATGTAGAGGAAGGTAGAACCCTCAGACTTGGAGGAACTGGAAACAGCTGGTGCAACACTCGTGTTATTTACATATATGATCCTCATATTCTGTGTAACAAGGGATCACACCATAGAGAGTGCTTAGGTTTTTATGTAGCCCTATACGAAGTGCTGATTGTGCAAGATTTTATATGATTGTTAATAATAAAAATTGTTTTGTTTTTATAAAATTTTTGGTCTGCTTTGTGCCTTCAAAGTCCATATCCTTGGTTTCAAACACATTATGCACTATGATAACCAATCACAGTGATCACTTGTTTGCGAAGCCTCCCTTGTACCTCTTTCCCTTTGTGAGGAGAAAAAAAAAAATACATTGGGGAATATTTATCATTTCTGTCGCATGACAAAGCATTGCTAAACAGGAGCGGTGAGACTCATCCTGAGGCAGATTTTCTTCATAATTCATAAATTCTTCCAATGGCTACTGTAATATCACACAACCTGACTGAATGAAACCCTACCCTGACCACTTCTTAAAGTGGAGCTTGACCCATTTGATAACAATGAAAGTTCTTTAACAAAAGAACATACATTCTACATTAATAATTATGCTTCCAAAATTAGTGTTTGCTGTAAATTTCCTCCAGTGTCCAGAAGATAGGAGCTGCCTGCATTCTAGCAATGGAGGACACTAGGTGACAGGAGATGCCTGTGACCTAGCAACAAAGGATGCTAGGCAGCAGGGGCTGCCTGTGTCCTAACAGCTGCTGATGCTAGGCAGCAGGGGTCATTGGCATCCTAGCAAATGGAGTGTATTTGCTCTGTACATTGTAAATATGTATAGAAAGCACAAACATTATTTGTGTACAGACAGTATTTTACGTAGGATCTTACTGCCATCAAGATTGTAAAATCATACATCCATGTGTATAAACTCCAACACTGTCCAGGAGCCTAGAAAAGTCCTTACCCCCAGCATGATGGGAAGCATGCATTTTAGCCAAGCTACTTCTGTCGTGGTGTGACTACATTATCTATATATTTAAATTGAAGACAGAAAAAACATGTATAAATTGCTCTTGCTTGATTCTTGACAGGATCATATGTTGAATTCTCATGGGCTAGTCACAACTGTAGTTAGGGGATAAAAGTTCTGGCCATGATGGAATTAGGATTAGATCCTAAATTGACAGAATTCCAGACAACTGTGAAGAACTAGTGGGAAATTACACTTGCTCTGTTCCACCATATTTGCTCTTTAGGGTTGATTTTGGGTTCCAGGTATGCTAGAACTGCAGTGCTGACCTGGCCATTATAGGTAAATAAAGACAATTAGCAGAATCTGAGGTGCTATGCAGAAAGATGGGCAGAATGTGGAGTTTTTTTCAGATGGTGAAGACTGCTTTGTCATATTGAAAACACAACACTAGTTAAAGCAGAAAGAGGGATAAAAGGCTTCCTGCACAAAATGTTCTACTGAGCAAATTAACAAACAAATCTGTAATTACAGAAGTCGAAAATTAGCATGCAGGACCCACAGGCTACATCTTGCCATTGGTCTCCTTAACCAATCCATCAATGCTTAAATGCTTTCAGAGAATCTTTTGTCCCCTGCCAGCTACATCATTTATGGTACCTTGATAAATCTCCTGTTGCTCTTAAGATTTATCCTTCTGTTTATAGGAAGGCTTTGCTAGATTTGTGAATAACATCCTCTTTATGCAGAAACACTTTAGGTTCAGCAGTCCCTCCCTAATTTTTTTTTTTTTTTTTTGTGGATTTGTCATTGTCATTTGTATTGCTGGGAATTCTACGTACATCTAGAATAATAAATAAAAATGCTTAATGATTATAAACTTTTTATGTTACTGTTTAGCTGAAGGTCTTTTCTAAAGTGGCTTGTAAAGGCTAAAGGTTTTTTACCTTAATGCATTGTCTGCATTAAAGTAAAAAACCTTTTAGTGCAGCTGCTCCCCCTGACTCCCGTAAATACTTAAGCCCGCTCTCAATCCAGCGCTGTGCCCAAGAGCAGCGGCACTGCTCTCTCTTTCACCTCACTGGACTCAGTGGGAGCCACTGGCTCCTGCTGCTGTCAGTCAAATACAGTGGCAAAGGAGCAGGGACAGGGCCCAGCCATGCTGCGTGTGTCAATAGACACACTCAATGTGACACGGCATCAAACTTGCATGAGTGATCCCCTAGCAAGTGGCTTGCTAGGGGGCACCAGGAAGGCAGGAGGAGCCAGGAGCTCCAGCGCAGGGACGACAGAAGTGGGGGGATCAGGGCTGCTCTGTGCACAACCATTGCACAGAGCACGTAAGCATAGCATGTTTGTAAAGGATTTTTTTTTTACTAACAATCACCTTAAGTAAATGTAATGCTTTGAAAACCAATTGCAAATTTTAATTTACAAGGGAGGGCAAGTAGTTTTATTTTACTTTTTCTAGAGCTTCTGCATGTATTTTAAAAGCTGAACTCAATGCAAACATCTAACACACAGAATAAATACATATGAGAACTGTTTCACCTGCCAAAGAATTTATATATCTGTTCATGCAGTCCTGAGATTTTCACAGCCCCTCCACACAGTATAGCCTTGTGATTGACAGCAGTTAAGAAAATACAGGTGACCATTGTCTACTCCCAGTCTGCTGACTGGACAGTGGAAGACCTAAGTCATCCCTTTATTTCACCCAACTATGTCCTTCTATCCACACGGAATTTCTTAGGACATTTTCATGCAGCACACCTGTTTGGCTTCCAGCCCTGTCCTTCACACTCCCAGTCTGAGGGAGATGGGGTAAGCACTGGCAATCTTTATTTAGCTTACTATGGGTTAGCTTTACTGATTTAAAATGAGACCCTTTAGGAAAAGAAAATATGTTTTTAAAATGTTCATTACAGTTGTTAATAAAACCCTTCCTGCCCAGCCCTGGTATCTCTTTAATAGGGTCTGTACACGGAGGAGGGAAGGATCAGCCAATCACATGACAACTGTGCTGTCACAGCAGTCACATGAGCAGGAGCTAGTTCCTTGAACTCCTGATCATTAGTATGAACCGATAGTTGTCTTTAACAGCTTGGTTACTGTCCTGGGAGCTTGCAGTGAGCAATCTATCAGCACAGAAAGCTCTGCCACCCATGAACGTGTATGTGCGGTGTGTGTGACCATTAATGCTCACCCTCTTTGTCGCCACACATGTGTTACATGGACAGCAAGAGGTTAATCAGAACTCTAGGCAAAATCATGATTTCAGGTTCTCACTTCTGTGCTCCATGCAAGTGTCTCTGCTTAATCTAGGTACAGGTATCGCCCCTGTGCACAGCTCTACACCCTCTACGCATGATAATGGTACTCACCCACCCAATGGCCTGGCCTCTGATGTTCCATTTTAAGTAGTCCTCTCTCCCGAGTCCCGACCCTCGCCTAGTGATTGGACAGTGAAGGAAGAGCTCTTATTAATAGATTTTCAACACTGTGTAATACATTAAAGTCCAGATTGATTCAAACTGTTGACCTTACACTTTCTAGCCTAAGCCAGATGTGCAATGGAAAACAGCAAACCCAAATACTCCTGCGCTTGGGGATGGACTCAGCTTGGGCTATGGCTACATCTCGGATGTCCTGGAATGTGCACTCTTTGCTGCCCTCAACGGACTGGGGTAGTGCAAATGCACTGGATATAAAGAAAACAAACAGAGGGTGCACTGGCCTAGTGCATTACCGTAAAAAACATTTATTGAAATAATAAAAATAGGTATGGTACTCACAAATGCCATAAATGTCAAAGGCACATCATAAAGAACAGCACTGTCCAATCCACACTACATGTCCATCCACAATGTGAACCTTGGACTTCCAACAGGCTAACACATTTCAAGGACTTGCCTCTTCTTCAGAGCAATGGGTTACATGGAAAAAATATAAAGACAGATTCCGTTACCTGAAAATAAATTTAGTGATTTTTTTTTTTAATACATAATTACAGTGAGTTTTGTTTCTATTTGTGCATTTAGATATACTTTTGTAATGATTCTGTCAACAAATTCAGAAAACCTGACCCCCTTACTGGTACCTGAGAAATGGTTGACCACACTGCAGTGTATCTGCGGATTTGGTGCAGATTAGCTGCACTATCCCATAGAGTTCTATTGGGGTCTGCGGATTTGTTGTGCTTTCTAAAAATGCACCAAAGATGCAACCTGCAGGAGTTTTGGTGTGCTTTCAGAAAGGACATAATAGAACTCTGTGGGAAGGCCCAGCTAAACCACACCAAATCTGCAGGTACACTGTGCTGCTCTGAAAGCAGTCTTGCTGCCCAAGAGGCTGTAATGGTACCTTGTCAGAGAAAAGATCGCCAGGGAGGAAGGTAATTATTATCCCAGGTGGTCTGCGCACAGGTGGTGTAGGGATTTATTAAAGGCCAATTTCTCTAAAGGTGAAGTCCCTCTAAAGGGGAAGGCTGTTCTATTTTAAAAGTTTACATATAAATGGTAAAAAGAAAATTAAAAAAATAGCAAAGAGAAGGAAATGGTAGATAATTAAAACAAAAAGAACTTGTTATAAACCAGCATCCTGATTTTCCACTAGACTGTTTTTTGTTTTTTTTTGTTTTTCCCCTTTGAATGTCTTATTGCTTCATGTTCTACTTTTCTCCCTAAGGTGACCTTCTCAGTGCCTTGGAATTCCCCTTCCTTTATTTCTATCGATTCCATAGTGGATGTTGTGCCAGGTAATAGTCTTATGAATTATTACTGTATCATTTCTTTGCTGGAAGCAAATTAGATTACATCTTTATAATAGATTACAGTTAGCTGAACAAGTGAATATACAGAGGGACATTTCTAAAGCATTGTAAAAAGAAAAAAAAAAAAACATTCAGTAGAAACATCTTTGACAGTTTTTTTTTGGAATGTTTATTCTACATATATGCCAGCATTTGGATGAAAAAAGGTAAACAATTTCAGAGACAAGTTTTAAATAAAGAATTATGAACTGTTGCAAGAAGTTTAGAAAATTGGCATTCTTTAATATAAAATGTATATTATAATATACTTATTTTATATTATATTTATTTTATATTATACTGTCAGCTTTCCTTTGTGATAGTGTTTTATTACTATATTATTATACAGGATTTATATAGCGCCAACAGTTTGCTCAGCGCCAATACAGCAACAATACAGTTGAATACAAGAGGGTAAGGAGGGCCCTGTCCTTGGAGCTTACAATCTAAGAGGGAGGGGCTGGTGGTACAAAAGGTAATAACTGTGGGGGGTGGACTGATAGGAAAAATATAGGGTTCGGTTATTAGCTGAAGGTAGGATAGGCTTCCCTGAAGAGGTTTTCAGAGATAGCCTAAAAGTGGGCAGAGTAGGCAATAGACAGATAGATTGGGGTAGAGAGTTCCAGGGGATGGGGGAGGCTCTGGAGAAGTCCTGACGATGAGCATGGGAAGAGGAGACAAGAGAGCTAGAGAACAGGAGGTCGTGGGAGGAGCGGAGAGGATGGTTTGGGAGATATTTGGAGACAAGGTTGGAGATGTAATTTGGGGCAGAGTTATAAATGACTTTATATGTTCTTGTTAATGTTTTGAATTTTATTTGCTTGGCAATGGGAACTGGAGGGATTGGCAGAGCTGAACTAAAGCCGGCCATAGATGGTTTGAATCTTAGCTGGTGCAGCAGTGACCGGACGATATGTTCAAACCAAATATGGGTGGGCTGAATGTACCCAAGTTGCTCGATCGATCAACTTGGGTACAACTGGCCTGTCATATTTTACATGCAATTATTGCTAGTGGCTATTATAGCCGCTAGCAGTAATCACGGTGTTCTCCTGGCAGGGGATCCAGAACACAATGACTGTGTTGATAGGGGAATCAAGTGATTTTCTTTCCTGCAACCTATAGTTTCAGGAAATAAAATTGCTCCATCTATGGCCAGCTTAAGGCAGCTAAAAACACACCAATTAACAGGTATGTATTTAATAAAATGTATTTTTAAACGTAACTAATGTACTGACTATCCCAGCAATTTCACTGAAATTATGTATTAACCTTCCAGTGGGATTTTAGGCTTTGTGCTGATGCTGCTGTCTGTAAAATTAAGGAGCAGTCTGTCTCCTGCACATCACCTTTCCTGGACTTTCCTGGCTAAGGTAAGCGACTTCTATTTAGAATTCTTCTAAGCCTACAATTATGGGAAAAACCCAGGAGGCACAGCCAGCTTTGTCCTCCCTCTCATCTCCTGGGCAGTAGCAGAAAGAGCAGCATGTCTTCTGATTCTTAGCTGTCCAATAACATCCAAGAGCTAGAAGTGTGAAAATGTCAACAGCTCTGACATGGACCATTTACATTTTCTATAGAAATGGCAGGCAACGCTGTCACCAGTGTACTGTATGTCCGCCCACGCAAATTCTGGTCCAGGGGTGACGTCTCTTGTCTGAAGAGGCGCTTTTGCGCATGGAGCAGTGATCAATGGACCCCCTCCTGCCATTTACTAAGCATGCTGCTGTTCTCTCAACACATGGTACCACTACAACACGTGTGCTATAGGGGCTTTGATACAAGACACCGTGTTGCTGTTACTGCCAATGCCCCCCACCCTACCGGAAATCTGAAAAGCTGCTAGGGGACACAGTGATTTCTCCTAGACTCTCCAGCACCCTATATGGAAGAAAGATATAATTTAAAAATATTCTTCCCAAATATATTGCCATATATTTGAAATGCTACAATTTTGGCCATATTCAATATATTTCAAAATATATTATTATTTGTATTTTTAAAGACATACAGTATATTTGAAATGTATTTTTAAAAATATTTTTCATATATTTTGTAATAAAAATGCCTTTCAACATGCAGTGTGTGTGTGTATATGTGTATATATACAGTGGGGATCGAAAGTTTAGGCACCCCAGCTAAAAATTTGTATTAATGTGCATAAAGAAGCCAAGGAAAGATGGAAAAATCTCCAAAAGGCATCAAATTACAGATTAGACATTCTTATAATATGTCAACAAAAGTTAGATTTTATTTCCATCATTTACACTTTCAAATTTACAGAAAACAAATAATGGCGTCTGCAAAAGTTTGGGCACCCTGCAGAATTTATAGCATGCACTGCCCCCTTTGCCAAGCTAAAACCTGCCAGTGTCATGGATTGTTCTCAATCATCGTCTGGGAAAACCAGGTGATGTCAATCTCAAAGGTTTTAAATGCCCAGACTCATCTGACCTTGCCCCAACAATCAGCACCATGGGTTCTTCTAAGCAGTTGTCTAGAAAACTGAAACTGAAAATAGTTGACGCTCACCAAGCTGGAGAAGGCTATAAGAAGATAGCAAAGCGTTTTCAGATGTCAATATCCTCTGTTTGGAATGTAATTAAGAAATGGCAGTCATCAGGAACAGTGGAGCTCATCTCTGCAACCCCGCCCACCCACTGGTTTGTGTGGCGTCGGCGCCATATGTTTCTATGACGCCGGCGATTTGCCTCCGCCTTGTCCTTCCCGGCGCCAACATCATGGGTTTCCATGATGATGGCGACCGGTGCAGGAATGTCTTTGAGCGCATGTGTGAGTAGTAAACTCTCATGGTGCATGCAGGTGACATGCGTCGCTATGAAACTGTCGGCCGCTGCACTAATAGGACCACTGTAGGTGTGTCCCCATTGCAGCTCACTTGGCAATCGGAGACAACCCTCCCATATTTCTAGGTAACAGTCTTTATCTTCTGTCATGGACATATATGCTGCTGGTTGTTGATTCCAGAACCCAGCGCTGCTTTCAGCTGACACCTTTATTACAATCCGGGGAGTACCATGATACACATGTGACCACAATGTTTATATCCCCAGGAATGCAGTTTATGTACATCTGATTATTGTTTATTTATTTTTGCAGTTTGTATTGTTTCTGTTTACATTGATTTGAATACATTTTTGGAGGGAACATGACATCATGGGGTGGGGCCAAGCTCATTTCACTTCACTCTGATTGGTGGATGGTTTTTTTTTAAATAGTTCTCCAGTTTCTATCACGATTTGTCACATGCCTGATGAAGGGGTCCTGCGAGACTCCGAAACGTTGCCTTGCTGTAACTATGTGATGGTTTATTAAAACCTTTGGACCCATATTGGTGATCCTCGTGTGCTGGTGACATTTTTTCCTTGCTGATTTTGTTCGGTTCCAGCCGACGGTCACTGCAGCACCCACTCATACACACAGCCATTTTTTAACGCAGGAACGTGTGCGTTTGGATCATATACTTGCATTCTAGACTGGCTTCCCATACAGCACCCCTGCTGGCTGCCCACCACGAGGGTATGTACTAGATGTACCTGTAGATAACCAGGACATCACATTCACCGATTGATCCAATCGTGAGGATTGTCTATAACCAAATGGCATCTGAGGATATTGCATCATCCAGCAATTTTGGATGCATTTACAATCAGGAAGAGATTGATGCAATCAATCCTCTTCCCACCTGACACTGAAAAAGCATTTGGATCGGATACAGCTACTGATCGATTAAGGGAAATCAAACGCTTGAAGAAAAGACAGGTTGATCTGGAGCTGCATGGCCAGACTCTGTCTGAGTACTACCGAGCAAAATTAATCCCGAGGGGTTTCCGGATTAGAAATCAGCCCACCATCGGACGTCATAAACGAGATTTCTGTGAAAAATGGTGTGAGGTTTCCACTCAGAACTCACTGAACTATATGTTACTAGTTATTGAAGAGGTCAAGGTTCAGCTGTGCCAAGTGAAACGTGAACTTGCAGTGTTGGAATTACCAACACAAGATACAGAAAATCAGACCTCTGCCTTGCAGGAGATTGACAACGAGATTACCACATACACCATAAAACAGAAGCAGTCCAAAAGGGACAAATTTAAACAGGTAAACCAGGATTACCAAGAAGGTAGAGTTTACCCATGGCTAACCGGGATCTCTAGGCCCAGGAGGAGACTACGTACTCGACCTCTACCCCAGAAGCCAACAAAAGGAAGCCCCCAGATTTCGTCTGAGAGTGAGCGACTAACCGAGAATCCTTCTACAGACAGCGAAGTCGGCACATCTGGTCGCTCCACAGCCCTTGTTGCTGATAGTAGCACACCCCTTTTTCAAAGGGTCGGAGACGGCGCAGAACCAGGAGGGGCAATAAGAGGTCGCGGATACCAAACACGCAGCAACCGCCAACGCACGGGCAGACCAGTCCGGTAGTTAATCTATCATCCCCGACACATCACAAAGGGTGAGTCCTGTCTCTTATCTAAAGGTCTGTCATTCTGTCCTGTGTCACGGTTTAATGACTTCAGTTTTGAAATTGAAATGTTCAAGTTTGAGAGGGCATTGAAAATCAAACAGTTCTTTTATACACAACCACGAACTATGCCTTTGTCCACAGGTCATTCGTTCAAACTTAAAAGCAAATTCATGCCCCCTGGACAATACCAATCCATTGATTGCTACATACGCACTTTGAAACACGATGTTCTCTCTGACATGCCCATGAGGAGATGCACTAATCTTAGCCCTGAGGAATTGAAAGCCCTAAGGACACTCAGGGATGATAAAAAAATTATCATCAAGCCCGCGGATAAGGGCGGTGCTATTGTGATCATGGATTATAAAAACTATAGGGAGGGCATGTTATCAATGTTAGCTGATACTAACAGTTACCTACAACTTACTGTGGATCCTACTCAAGGCATCATGAATACTTTGAATTCTCTCATCAACATTGGCCAAGCCAACGGTTGGATCTCTAATGAGACAGCTGAATTCTTGATCGATGACCATCCAAGACTACCTGTGATATATGGGTTACCTAAAATCCACAAGGGCACAAACCCTTTAAAATTTAGGCCAATTGTTTCTGGCACAGGGTCAATCACTCAACCTTTGGCTCAGCTACTGGACTTCCATCTTCAACCATTGGTTCAGAACCTGCCGGCATATGTCAGGGACACAGGGGATTTTTTGGATAAACTTGGGGGATTCTCGGCATTTGATGAAAATTGGAAATTAGCAACAATGGACATTTCGTCCTTGTATACAAGTATACCTAATGAAGCAGGTTTGGTGGCGGTTAGACATTTCTGGTCCGGATCAAATGCCCAGAATCTCCCATGTGAATATCTTATTGATTGTTTACGTTTTGTACTTGAAAGCAATTTTTTTGCATTTGAGGGGACCATCTATGCCCAAATACGTGGCACTGCCATGGGCAGTTCTGCTGCCCCCTCCTTTGCAAATCTGTTTGTTGGGTATATGGAGGAGCACAACATTTATGTCATGCCTTTGTTCATTGATCATGTCAAATGCTGGCTAAGATATATAGATGATATCTTCCTTATCTGGAAAGGGGAAACATCTATTTTTTATGAGTTTGTTGACCAGCTTAATGGCATCTTTCCTGGTATCATTTTCAACCCCGAGATATCCCCCAACAGCATTACATATCTTGATGTGAGGATCACTAACAATCAGGGTACACTCCAGACATCTGTGTTCTCAAAACCAACGGACAAGAACACCCTACTACATTACCAGAGTGCACATCCCAAGCATCTCCGTGATAGCCTGCCTATCTCACAGTTCAAGAGGGTGTTACGCATTTGTTCCTGTATGAGTGACAGGAGAGAACAACTTGAGGCCATGTATAGAAAATTTGTGGAAAGAGGTTATCCTACTCGAGTACTTGATCAGGCATTAGCCAGAGCTATGGCAGATTCTGAAGGCAGCCCTAGGGCAGTCAACAGGCCGCTCTTTATACACGGCTTCAATCAGGCATCTGAGCGTATTAAACAAGCGGTCATGCATAACATGAACATCCTTAGAGCTGATGACACTCTATCACCCAACTTAAAGAATCCACCATTGATGGCGCATAAGCGAGGTAGATCCCTACGTGACTTATTAGTTCAAGCGGACCCTAGGACCAAATACGCTAAGGCAGTATTTAAGTTCTCAGAAGACAGGGTTGCTATAAGTGTTACAATTGTAATGTATGCAACTCATTGATCTGTGGGGAATATTTCACACATCCCCACAGTGGGAAACGTTACCAGATACAGGGTTACCTGAACTGTAACACGGATCACTGCGTTTATATTCTGAAATGCCCATGCTCACTAGTTTATGTGGG